GATAGTTACCTCATTCGAAAGCCCTTGAAACGGCGAGTTTGCAAAATCTTCAAAACCATGTTTTTATTGAAATCCGGTAGGTTACAAGGTATTTAAAAACATTACAAGAAACGGCCTCTGCATCTAATTAACGGCTACTTCCGGTCTTTTGTAGGGGAATTTGAGGCAAATTAGCTATGTGGCATCCAACCTTTAAGAGAGGTAAAATTTTACAAAATGGCTTGTAAAATGGCGTAGTTAAATAAAAACCTGGTTTGAAGAAGATAAAAAACCTGGTTGCAAACTCGCCGTTTCAAGGGCTTCGAATGATGTAATTATCATTTCGCTCCGATACTTCTGCAAGCAATAGAGAGGGTGTTTTTTATTGGGACACCCTGTATACGCTTTTTCGTCATGTTTCCACAATTAGCATGCCGCCGTTTTGGCCTAATTTGCCGAAAAGTCATCATTTGCGGGCCAGTTTCCGACGACGGTCGAGTTCCGATGACGGCAGTCAAAATTGATGAAAAGTATCGATCTGAATTGCATTTTCTTAAATTCAAAAATTTCCGAAATCGGTAATAGTGGGGTCTTGTTTCGAAACATTTCGAGCGCGAAATCCTAAAATCCCAATGAATCGGCAAGTGCCAGGATCAGGATCCATACCATAAAACGAAAATGATATATACCGAGAAAATAAAAATATATATCAAACCAAGCCCCATTGCAGACGCCGAGCGCGAGCTGGAGTCCCGGGAATCACAGCCGGCCGTCCGCGCACGCCGAACCCTGATGCATCGGGCGTCACGCAGCGACATGCCGATGCGAACCATCCAGAACCCGTCCGATCTGCCAATGTTCCGATTTGGCTAAGGCGGCACCACGGCTACACCGGAAATGATACCTACAAAAACGTGCCCCGCGGGGGCTAGTGGCAAAAATGTGGTCCAGCCCAAACTATAGTAAAAATGATATATTATCCCGGCCATTTGTTTGATTTCTCGAATTTGAGCAATTTTGGCCCCTTCACGCCCCCTAATTCTTACCGACATTTATAAAAACGCTGCTTTCTACAGGCTTCTATAGCACAAAACTGGTTCCCGTCCACCCTTTTTCCATTGAAAAAATTATTGATCACGAACTAGTCGAATCCGGTCGTTCCAGCGCATCTCATCCTCCCCCGATCGCCCCCCGTATGATTGTGACCCTTTCCCTATTACTTGGCCATTTCCATTCTTCTCGCCAACTACGACCTTGTGTGGGAGAATAAAAGATTCCAATGTTTTTATCAACGCGTTGCGCCGACAGCCTTTACAAATTTTCGCAAAAAGACACTACGTGCGGTTCTTGAACGCCCAAAAAAAATCACCCTCCTCTAGCCGGCGACAGACATGTCCGATTTTGACGGTTGGGGTCTCGATCGAATGCTTTTGAAAAGACGAGTCCAACACGTCACTCACTGGATTTTCGAAACTCCAGAACTTTTTCCACGATTTCCGGCATTTATCAGGCAAAGGGACACACTATTTTGTCAAACATTCAATTTACCCGGTTTAGGCGCTGGCCAAGATGTGTTTTCGCAAATGGTTTGTATAAACCGGCCGTTGGGCTGCCAGGAAAGCCGGAAAACCTCAAATTGTGATTGTTGTAAAAAATCTCTCGGTCAGAAAGACATCGAAAAACCGACCATCTCGCAAAAATATTAGTAAAAGTTAGCGACATTTTAAAAATTTGACAATCGGAGAGTCTGCTGGACTCGCCTTTCCGAGAATTTTCGCTAGCTACCTAAATTGCAAAAATGGGGCACGGTGGCGGTCCGCTACAAAGGCCCGAAAAGAACAAAGGCTCTTTTTCGAACAGCCAGCAGGTTTTTTTACTGTTTTATCGAGCCAAGTAACCTGACGTTGGCCCCGAAAATCGTTGTTGCGCCAGTTCTCGAAACTAGCCGGCAGCTCCACGAAATTTTTACGCGCTGCATGGACTTATGGCAGTGAAATTCAGCCTGGAATCCGTTCACGCATTCAATTCCTTCAAAACGTGAAGGAAAACTGGTACGGCACGCCTTAGCATGATCAACCGTCCGCCGACGGCGTAGATTGTACTGTTCACGGCCAATCAAACAGGCCAAAAACGGCAATTTGCGGGAGGGGGCAAAAGCGTCAAGCGTCAGCCGGGCGTAGCGCGCGTCAAAAGGTTTAAACTCTTATAACCTTTTCCAAACCGACTTAATATTGAAAAGCCAATATTAATTATTGCAGAGTAAAATTTTACGGTTCGAATGATACCAAAGAAAGCAGGTTAACCCTCCGAAATACCACTTTTCACAAAGTCGCCCACCAAAACCACCTTCGTTAGCATACTTTCTAAATTCAGTTTTGTTAGTGTTTAGTATCATTAGAATCGCCATGTTCTCTTCTACAAGACTGGAATTCGCGTTTTTTAAGATCGGCCATATCTTTCAAAATATAAGCCTCCAAAGTTTTAGCCCCATACATTTTTGAGTCGATAGGAGCGCCGCGTTGCCTAGCCCTTAGACCGCCAAGATTTCGGGGTTTCGGACATGTTGGTGCGAAACAGGCCCCCGCTTTGCTACAAATTGAGATTTTTTGCACGGTTTCGTAAAAGATTTCTAAACAAAATCGATGTAGCCTTTTATAAAAGGCTCTAGGAGAAATAAAAGGCATTTGAGGCCTATTTTAGTCGTTTGTTGTGTTTATACACGAGTCTTAGCTACTTTTCCTGATAAATCACAGGTGGTATCCCAAAGCCGTTTGAGGTGGCGCGCCATGCGGTACTAAGTCTGAATGTATCATAATGTCTGAAACATAAAGTTCATTGGCATATGCTATTTCTTCCCGCCAAGCGCTGCCGACCAATAATCATCATGTCTAGACTTATGCCCGTAATAAGCAAACATTGGTATTATGTTATCAGGTTGTATCGAAAATTATCCCCTTTACCGCTCTAGCTAGGCCCAACCTGGAACTTGAGTTCATCGCGGCAGGCCCATTCCATCTTCTCATCTTTCGCTGTGGGCATGTTGCTTTTTCGGAGCAATTCATCATCGGTATTACGTTATTCGTCGGCTTTTCGAAGAAATCAAGTCAATTCTCGGAAGTTGAGATAAAAAACTTTTGTCGTGAAGAAAGAATTTTGTGCTCTGATGCGTTTTTTTTGAAGGGTGGCAGGCTTGAAACTTCAAAAGTACTTAAAAGGAGCGCGTATTTATTAATCTAGTAGTCTTGCTAATTGCTGGTAAGCAAACCGGTCGCAGTACCAATTAGGTGTTACTGCCGAAAAGGACTTTAGGCTCTCTCAACTGCATTGCGCATCACTAGTCTCTTTCCACGCCGACGCGCCTGTCCGAGGGTCCAGCGGACTCGCTGCGCAGCGCTGCTTTAGCTTTCCCCGTGCTGTATTTCCCTTTGGCATGCATTAGGTTCATCGTTTCTAGCATTTCATCGAGCGCTTTTAACTTTCCAACAGATATTCCATCCTGCCGCGAAGCTTGCCCAAGCCGCGAAGAATTGCCGCGAAGCCCATGATTGTTTTAAGCAGTTTCGCCCGGCGCTCATGTCTATCGCTAACACCTTGTTCAAGAGAGTTCATGCTAGTTCCACGATATTTTCCCCGGTTCAACACCTTCACCCGCAACCGTACCAGCCCGAGCCAGCCCAATGGCCTCTAACTTGTTGTGGCCCAGCTGTTCTTGTTTTTCGGCTCACTGTTTTGGGGGGTTACCAGTCTCAGTTCCTTCCTGTGTGACAATTTGCGAATACTTTATTCACCTTTTCAGTCGCGCCGGACGACGTTCAGCACTCTCGGGTCGCCCACAAAATGGTCATCTGTCGAGAAGATTTTGATTAAAGTAAGGTGCTATTGGTTGCTTTCCATTTATCGGGTTTCGTGCCTTAGCGATGATAGTAAACTTCTTTTTGTTTGTCCTATGCCTGCCTCGTGATAAAATTCAGTGTATTTTAAGGCAGTTTTGTAGCTTCCAATAAGCAAAATTCATGAAGCTTTTCTTAGTAACTTCATGAAATTTCAGTTTCCCTGTTTTTCGACGATTTTTCATAGTTCTTGCAACAAAGATGCATCTTTTTTAAACATGTTTTTCTTCTTAATTAAAGAATATACAAATATACAAAAAGGTACAATTCGGTAAAGTAATAAACATTTGACTGCTGGTCCCTATGAGATCTTCCAAAACTGCTTTATTGCACTATACACCCCCCGATAAACTTTTCCAGGCGTCTTGGGTACTACTAAAAAGCCTGCTCAGCGTTTCGCGGCGCCGGTCTGGCTTCTCTACCAGGCTGGATTATGTACGTTCACGATTCGAGATTTTGTGATTCGCTTGTTTTAGAACAGATATCCATTATGGCCGGACTGTTGCTTGACACCAGGGAGAGAACAAGGTAGGAATGCCTTCGCGCTTCTAAAAACCTTTTAGCGACGGGCCTCACAACAAGACGCTAAGCCGCTACAGCTGAAACCAGCCCACGCCCTCGTTTTCCACAAACTTCCAGGTAGTTTACCCTTTTTAAGCTCAGTTTAGAAACGTTGACCGCTCGATAATACAACGCGAGTCAGGGCACAGGCAAATGGGCTCCGTTGGAGGTTGGTTTGTTACAGCTTGACCAACACCCTCCCTTTATCAGTTACAGACAACTTTTGAAGTTTTTCTTCATAAGCGGAAGCCAGGAATGACTGCCGTATCCAGGTCATGTTTCGCAAATGCAAAATTAGGTGAGTTACTTTCGGCGTATATCACCTTATTGTAGCACGGTTCCTGTTGTGAACAAAATTCGCAACCGAACACAAACGAATCGTGCTTTTTAGGTGTCTTGTGCGCAATTTACATGAAATAGGGTCGCAAACGAAACATAAAAAAAGATGTTAATACCATTGGTTGCCGCAGCCAGTGCCCCTTATTTTGCATTTGCATCTGAGATCCGGAATGCCAAAAACTTTGCTTTAAAAGCGGTGCGAGCGCAAAATCTTTCTACAGCCGTTCTACCATGTCCCGCACGGAGGTATTAGATTTTTCCCTTTTTGAATGTCTAGTGCTTTAGCCCTTCGCTTGCAAAAGTATATAATTAATGAGTTTCCAGACCGACGCTGATGCCGAGGTTCGCTCAGCCATCACCGCTCTCGTCTCCGCATTGATCGCCTATCTCGTCGGCCTGCCCAGCTTTTTTCACCACGTAAACTGCTTATCTTTACTTTTTTTGGTCCGAAGGCCGATAAACGCATGCTTTTATTAAATTCACATGCCCTACTATACTGGTGGTCCAAAAAAGCACCCCCCTCCAGCGGTTCGGCGGAAACTCGGATCAGGATTATAACATTCGAAAGCCCGCGAAAAGGCGAGAAAACAAGCGGGATTCATTTTCTAGGATTTATTATTATTCGTCCGATATTCAACGTTTTTCTAAAAAAAAACAGGTATCCTTTCGCTCGGAATTTCGCAATTAGCACGCAGATCTCGCGTCAATCTGCTGTGTTCATGGTTTTTGGGGGTGAAATTCGCGGATAAAAATACATAATAAAGTAATTGAACCCTCCTTGTTTTCTCGCCTTTCGAGAGCTTCGAGGGATACCTAATCGGTGAAAGCGCCTTCAGCCGATCCGGGTCAAATGATCGGAAATATTTAATATTTTGCAGGCTTCTGCGCGTCGCGTCCACCATCGTCGCGTCGGCCGTCACTACCGTGGTGGTCTGCTACAAGGTAAATCTTGCCGACTTCCTTCCATTATCTTTTAGTTTACTCGACTTCTAAGCAAAGTCAACACGTGCCGAAAAGCTGGAGGCCGAGATGTTACCGAGCGGAAGACGAGGGATCCGAGACCGCTGCGCTGTCGCGACGCTGGTGGACCTACGCCGTGCGACGGCTGTTCTGCTGTTGCCTCGATGTATGGCATGGGTTCGTAACTTGGATCTTGGAACTATCGGCTGTTGTTTCGCACATCTCGGGCGGGGGGGGGGTCGCTTCGCATCTAACCAAATTTTTCTTTTTGTTAGGACCCAACTTTCAAATATAAATCGCGGAAGGTTTGTAAGCTGTCTAACCTCAACGTACGAACGTTACAACGTTTGATCAAAAATTAAAAAATGTTAATTTTCGACTAAAATCGCCGTTTTTGACTAACATTTCGGACTTTTGGAAATTTTTTCAATTTTTAGTTTGTTTCTGTAGTTGAACTCTTGTTATTTGCTTATTATAAACACTAATAAACTCCTTCCTACTACGTTACTGCACTTTTCTAGGCTGGTATAAAAGAATTTTATCCCGATAATGCGAAGAACCCTATAGGCATACGCAAACTTGTGAATAGCAAGCCTTTGGCTTGCCAACGAGCTGGTTAGTCATCGCTCAGAATATTTTTTCGTCGGCTTGCTAAAGCTTTTCCCTTTCATGTCGGACATTTTGCCGTGGATCCACGCAAACGCCGTTTTCACGTCCAACTAAACACATCCATTTCAGAATGCGTCATCGGCTACATCATCATCAACTACACCCACTTCCTCGACGACCGATCCTCGAACCATCGATGTCCACGTGCTCGAGGATGTGTACACCGGCCCGGTGGCCGTCGTCACCTCTGACCGACACGGCACTAACGTACCACCCCGGCTCGACGAAGCATCGGTGCAGCGGCTGAAGACGATCGCAGTCGAGGATGCGAAGACGACAGGCCACAATTTGTTAACGTACAAGATGCTTGAGGACAGCAACTTCGAGTTGTCTGATTCCAAGGTGGGTTTTAGCTATTTGTGAGGCCATATTAGAAGGCTCAATTTGTTGCTGGGCTACAAAGATGTCGATGAAGGATATAGGATATTAGAACCGTGTTAATGGATTTTCTGCATTTTTAACCGCCAAACGGCAATCGAAAAATTTTCAGAAATTAGGATTTGGAGAAAAAGATAGAAATCTGCGCAAAAATACCAACTCAAAACGTGCTTTCTGTCTGCGAAGGAAGATCAGGCATGAAAGACCCGAAGAGGTCTGAATACCACGCCGCCCCTTTGGGACGGGCCCGCTCTTCCGTGTGCAAGGAGGCGCCGAAAGATTCGATTTTACAGAGTACTTTTCCAAGGTAATATTAAAATCCGGCGCGCTACACCCTTCATCCATACTTGGTAGGTCTTACGACGCGAAATGCGACGCGGGCGGCGTGCTGCACTGCGGCTAAATCGCAACCTGGCGGTCGCTGGCAAGGTGTGATTTCGGAAGCAAGGCAAAGCGGATAATCTGCAAACCGCCATTCTTCGTAGTTTGGTTTGACTTTTTGAGGTTTTTGCGCGAGTTGGTGAATTTTAAATCGTTGGCGGTGAGCTGATATCCTTGCATCCGCTTCTCGGTGCTGGACTGGTGGGGGGGGGGCTTTTGGCAGGGGGAAAACTGATATTTCCCAGTCGTCCCATGGGAAATAAACTATAGCGAAATCCAAAATATGATTAAGCAATTTACACAGTTTTTCGATCAAAAAAGTTAATTTAAAATTTCGAAAATTGTAAATTTTTAGTCAAAAATGTATGAAAAAGACCAAAAAGGTCGAAATTTTCTAAATTCCAAAACATTTAAGACATTTTTATCGCTTTCCGGAATCTAAAACTCCTAAAAACATTATAAAAATGCATTATATAATCAGGTAGGCATAACCAGAATATAGGATTTCCGCCCTGCTAGCTCCCCCGCCAACGGATCTAGTACATGGTCGAGCTACCGAAGCCCTTGTAAAAAATTAAATTGACTTTCGGCGGTCAAAATCAATATGAAATGTTTCAGGTATTGGATGCGTTTAAACGTGACTACTCGGAGCCTCAATCAGCCCTCCTCACCACTCTCGTCAAGGCACATGAAAAGCTGATGACTTCGGTGCGTGGTGCTTTTCGGACCAGTTAGCAAACCTATAAACGTACTTTTTGCTTTTGGTCCTTGGGAAAGTTCGTGCACGGAAAATTGCTGAGTGCTAATTTAATCATTAGCTATCCTGAGCTAGTGAAGAAGCCTACATTTTCAGCCGACCCGGCAATTTGACAACTTAACCCCGGAGCAAGTGGCAGCCGCCGCGCAGCAGAAAAACGGTGAGCTTTGCACCGCTCTTTCGAAAGAGTATAGTGCTTTTAGCATCATTTTTATTGCCCTTTTTCAGACGCGCGACAAAATCAACGACGAGAAGGAGGAAGGTCGTTTGGACGAGGTACGTTGCATCGTTTTACTTAGCTTGGGCCTTGCATGTTCGCAACGCCTTTTCACGTGGTTATCTGCGACGCCGCCCGCTACTCCAGCCCGTCTATCGGATGTAAGCCGTTTATGAGAATTTATTGGCATATTCCAACCCGAACGAGCCCCTTAACCTGCAATATATCAGACCCTACTCTAAGTCAACCATCTCCCCGCCCTCTCGGTTCGTCGCCCTACCGTTCCCTTTCGGCAAAATTGCGTTCGCCAGAAGCCTGCTAGCAGGAAGTCCATAACAAACGACACAGGCTAGCGCGATCCTATATTGAAAACGCGGACTGGCCAGGCGCCCAGAAGTAGGGATGGCAAGCTGGCAAAGATGAATGACCGAAGAAGGGGGAGGGGAGGGGTTAAAATTTTTCCCTGGGAATCCTGTACGGCTCCTATAAAAAATCATAAAAATTTTTGGGTTCTTTCTGCATTACTGGGGGGGAGGAAGAGAAAGTTGTCTCTTTTTGATTTTTAATACTTTTTAAATATAAAATGGAATTAGTGCTTCTAATCTGTTTTTACTATTCCGGAAGGTAAAAACTTAGGGCCTTTTTATTGAAAAATACAAAAAAATCGATTTTTTATTATTTTCGTATATACAGTAAAAGTTTTGATTTTTCTCTTCATACCCAATCGGTCT